CACTGGTCGCCTAAATGAGTTCATTAAGTTTCGATGACTTCGGGTGACGGCTCACGCAGTTTCCCGCAAGTATTGCCAGATGAGGTGAGACCCTGCAATTTAACTTCCTAGCACTGTTAAAGTTGGTGCTCAGCGTAGTAGATAGCTCAATCAGTGAAGTACCAATGTGACATGCAAGAGAAGTAGCACTACAGAAATGCCAAGTGATAATTTAAATTGGGTAACTTCTACCACCACGCACAGTTAAATCAAAATAATGATGATTATTAATGCGTAAACAAAGAATTAGAGAATAGCGAATAAAAAAGGAAACATTTGCGTCCATTCTGTGGAAATATTGCGATCTAAAAGGCTGATAAATAAGCCTACAGTCCAATAATGAAAAAAATTAGCTAATTTTTAAACTTGGTTTAACGCGTTTCTACTGATAAGTTTTCAGTAGAATTTATTGCGCTAAAAATAAAGGTGGGGAGCCAAAACGAACACTTGGAAGCACTTACATAGATTTATTGTTTAAAAGTAACTTATCTGGAGAACCTTGTACTAAGAGGTTACCTTACAAAAGCACCACAAATACTCGGTAAATGCATTGCGTTAGTTTTTGCAGGTACTAGTGCGTCAGGCAACCGTAAAATCGGATAATGAAGGTAACATGGTCAAATGCGCAAGTCTGCTCCATGTTTATTAGTAGATGGCAAAGTAGTCCGAAATTCGCGCTCAAATGTCTGAGAATTCCAACGACTTAAGCAGCCAAAGTCACGCTGTAGCCTCGCTTATAAATGATATGAAGCCACATCACCACTGCCCACTATTTTGCCTCATATTACTTTTAATCGTTTCCTTATTTTTAGGGATCTAGGAAAGACTGCCCTAATGTTAAGCGTAAGATAAGAAATATTAAACATTGGATGATGTGACGGCTTGAGAGTCGTTTTGCAAAAAAATTACTAAAATTTCTTGACCAATATTCAACTGCATACGAGAACGAGTGCTCATTTGTATAAAAAAAATTACGCAATAACATCTGGCTCGATATTATTTTAAAGTTGCTGTGTACAACACTACTAATAATGCGATTAAGCGACCAAATTAACTAATGACCTCTTGACAATATACTGGAGCAATGGATGAGGAAATTGGAAGTGATACGAATGCATAGGCAGTAGCTTTAGTTGCGAGTTCGAAAGTCAGTAAGTTCTGCCTCTTCCCTTTCGCCGCTGCTAAGTTTCATCAGCCATCCTCATTAAGGAGACTGTTCAACAAATTTCATTCTTATTTATTAAAATATAGTCCTATTTGTCATCATCCCTAATCTTAAGTTAGGGACGTAGAACAAAACCATAATTGAGCATCAATGCTAAATATGGTTCTCCTGAAAAGATTATGCAAGAGATTTTTGCGAATGTGTAAGAAACACATTGAATTGGACTTCTATAGATGAATAGGAATAAGCGTACCATTCTTCGACAAACCAATATCCTTTTTACCAATTGATATGTAAAATACCTGCCTTGATGGTCTATCCTTTTCTTTTGAAAACCTCTTTGATGCAGCCGAAATGCCAGCCTTTGCAGAAGGCCTACAGGGTGACAGCTGACAGCGCTTGTAAAGACAAGCATTGGTAAGGTGGTGGAGAGGGTCTCGCATGTTCTAGTAGAGTGGCAGAACTCCTAGATAGGCTGTCAACTTAATCAAAGTTGTGCGAGTGCTCATGGAAGTCAATGGGTTGTAAACAAATGCAAAGACGTGCGGAGGTGAGTAATGGAAGCATGGTAAAACAAGAGTTGACCTGCACTTTGCTTGTGAGTCACTCTTACCTGCTGAAGGACTTGTGGTACTGCCTTTATTTTCTTAGCTGTGTTTAGAATCGCCACTTAATTCCGATGACGCCGACGGTCGTCGCCAATACCATACCAAAGATGGGATTATTTGGCCAATAGCAAATGAAATTCTCAATCTTAGAGGTTTACAAACATCAAATGAAATCCAGAAAAAGAACGCCTATTTTGTCAATTTTGCTAACTTCGCCACTGATGCTGCCATGCTGGACTTCAAGGTATGAGAGTCACTGCTTGCGCATCACATTTTTTCCCACGCCATCCTGTGATCCTTCCTTGTCACAAGCCCCATTTCACCTCTTTTTTATTCTACTTCGACCTGTTGCAGCATCCTGAAATGCTGCATTGCTATTTGGTGGGAGGTAACCTTCCCAGATTATCCGTGTTTACTTTGGAAAATCACTTGCATGACACTTGAGGTGTTGGCAAGGGTTCCAGGAAGAGACATTGCCCCAAATGACTGACAGCTTTTAGGTTACTCATGTAAGCGACCTAAATGACTGCCTTGTTGGTGCAGTTATTGCCTCTATAGCTTTTGGTTACCTGTGCATGTGTTGCCTTGCATCAGGTTACATTTAAATGTTATATGAAATCGTGCTGTACAAGAAGATAATGATAACACCTAGTAAAACTCAAAATTAGATACCAATTTCCAAAAGGTTTAAACACTTTAAGCATGCTGCCCTCTAAGGTTGCGGTGTCTAACTTACCACTTGCTAAGGCATGCAGTGCCGATGCTGTAATGTGAGATGAACAAAACAAATAAGCACCCACAAAAACAATTAAAAAGTAAGTAAAACTGAAATTATAAAGCTAATCTTCCAATTATTTCTGCTAAATGGCAAGAAATGTTCCTTTTCGAAACTTAACATGGCTAAAATCCTTTTTACTGGTTTAATATTAAGTAGCAACTTTATTTTCTTTAAAAGATACAAAGGTGGGTGTAATCTCGGTTTTGTGGTTTTTTCATTCCAACTGCAAATGGTAAGGTTATTGCCATTTTAATTTGTGTCGAATAAACTACAAAATGCGTAGGTGCAATTCATAGACAACAGTGCCTTTTCTTTAGTACTCTTTCCTCACAACGTTTTGCAACACAACTTCCTTCAGGCCCTTGCATTAAGGACTGGCATTCTAAAATACTTGTGAGACGTAGAAAAATAAATAATCATCGACCTTTAGCCATGTCTTTATAAACTGCTTCGTAGAGCACGAGTGCCATGTAGTGCAACGAAGCCAAAGGTGTGGGATAATTTTACAGAAATTTCTTCATCCTATTAGTCATTGCGCAGTTCTCTTAACTGTCAGATTTAAAGCACAAACTAAAAACTAACATCATTTTGTTTACGACTTTGCTAAACTTTTGCAAATGGACTCCTCATTCTTCATTGCTCTCTCAATCGCTCCCAACCACAATGACAATCACTTAGCTCAACAATGGACTCGATGTGGTCGGAGAAGATGGTGGGGGGAGGGGGGAAGAATACTGGTCGGAATTTCACACCTCCCTTCAATCGCTAATTGAATCTTGTGACCAACTCATGCCTTCTGTCTTTAAAACCAGTTTTCCCTTTAAAGTGTATGGAAGTGTTCACCGGGGGAAGCAATAGGCATAGGTATTTCGCTTTTGAAAAATATTTCCCAAGTTGGCATTATATGGTGACTTTCTTTCTAAAAGGCGCACTCACTTGATTCGACTTCGGCCACGGTGTCAAGAGGCTCTCCTGAAGGAAACTTGCAATGCCATGGAGCCATCGACACGGTCTAAAAGCCGAACAGTTCAGTCTGGTTTCGGTGGCAGAGCTGCTAATCGGGACATTGAGTAAGGCTTCCCTATACGTAGTCCCGAACCGAACCGTAAGTCGCCTTTCAAACGATTAATGTAGGGACGATGTTTCCTGTTAAATGCGAGTCCAAACCCTACCTCTTTGTAGTGTTTGGGCTTCATTGACTCATACTACCAGCTTTTTTACGAGGCTTGAGGCCTTGAATTTCCAAGTTAACCTTCATGTCAAAGGCGAGGATGGGCTCTGGTAAATTACGCAAACTTCTCGGCATTGGAAGGTGCTTTCCGCAGAAGGCACTCAAAAGGGCTTCGCTTGTAATCCCTGTTTGGTCATTGAAGGGTAAGACAACTCGAGAATCACACTTTAACGACTCTCTCTTCACTTGAAAGACATTCTTGAGCTGACTTTTAGGCAGAAGTGAAACCGTTGTGGGTGTGTCGACTCGAAGTGCCGCACTTATTAGGATCAGCTGGCATGACAAATAGGCAGATTGTCCCTACTTTAGACAGAAAGGATAAAGTTTATCAGGCCTCTCAATTAATTGTTTCGTCAACAACTTGCTAAAAGCCGGTGTCTATAGAGCATGTGAATTTCTTGGCAAACCAAATAAATGACATTGGTACTCTTTGACAGCAATCACACCCTGTTCCCTCCACTTCGCCTGAATTCCAGCCTACACACTCATTTGAGGGTGCAATTTTTTTTGCCTGGCACACCTCAGTCACATGACTTGAAGACAAGTGTTTACTTCAAACCATCTCCATCCAAGCTCATTGTTTGGCTCATCATCACATCCGATGTGGAAGATTCTCCACCAGAAACACCGCAGCTTTCACCTGATGACAAGAGATGACAAGGTGGCGGTCCAAGCTTAGAGTATTTCATCTGCCGTTGGACTTCAAGCCTTCAAGTATTCCTTGGGAGGAAATCAACCTACCAGTGCTTCTGAGAAAAAAACTCTGTAACTTCGTATCAACTTAGGAACATTTCAACTGTCCACCTCGGAGCTCCATCAAAGCGCCCCAAGGCTCAGTGTCCTACAATCGTCAGAAGTGATGAAGAGGGCTGACCACATCACTCACACCGATACAATCGGTTCGCTACAACCCTTCCGTCTTTCAGGATAAGCTAAATCATACAAAGAGAGATTTTATTTTATACAAAAAAAGGGATACGCGGTTCAGTGTCCAATCACTTTTAGCTCACACTGTGACAGTGAGTCCAAGTGGCCTCGTAACTTCGGTTGACAACAATCACATCTCCACTTGGCTTGATGTCTTCCAAGCCTGCTTCCTCTGGTCCCACATTTCCTGCCTCCAACCACCGAGACCTGCAACTTCAGTTGACAGCATCAATGCGTATGCTTGTACCACCTCTAACATTGTTGATGCGAATTGTGCACCACTGTTGATGAGTGTGGAAAAGTTGGCCTCAAGTAGGGATTCAACGACCCACCAAAGGTGTCCACCTCGTTGGCCTTGACAATTGACGGTTCTTGTTTCAAAGGAAGGAACTTTGGATGAATCATAAAAGCAGTGGCTGCTGCTGCTGTTGCAGCTGCATCATCACCCGACCGCTTAATCTTGTACCGATGATTTTGGAACCAAATTTTCACCTAAGTAAAACAAAGAACTGTGCAGAACAAAAAATTACTTTGTAATTATTGTGAAATCTTAGGGATTGTTATAGATGTAGGTGGGTGTTGAGTGCTACTTATCTAGGTGAATAACTTAGTAGGTCACTTGTTTGTTTAAGGTGAAGTAGTGAGCCTGAAAGAAAATAAAAGTTACCTACAAGCCGAGATTGGTCTTTGGTGATGGTTGAACGCACCTGAGTGGGAGTTAAACCGATGGTCCGGGCCAAATCCTCACGCTCCTGGGCGGTGAGGTAGCGCTGCACCTTGAAGCGCTTCTCCAGTTCAGTGATTTGGTACTTGTTGAATAGAATGCGACGCTTGGATTGGCTGTGAATGTCTGTCAGTCCTGAATTGTCCAAGTCTTGCTTACCAACTGGCATTGAACGCGAGAAGAGGTGGTGTTGGGAATCAAAAAAATTGGGCAAAGAGGCAAAATTTGTCCCATTTTTCACATCACTGTGTTGTGGTGGGAGTGACAGATCTCCGTGGCTTTGGTGCATGAGCGATTTTGGATTTGAAAGCATTGGAAAGGGCTTTAGGTCTGTGGAGTTTTTCCCTGCTGTGCCGCTTTGAAGTGCAGTGTTACTTGTGTCTGCGTTTGAAAGACATCGCTGTGGTTAGTGGAGGAGAGCCCATCAAACTCTTTCAACGTCCTTTATAAAGTTATTAAAACAGACCAATGGGAGCGCGAGACACTGCGGTGGAAAGAGTACAGAACATGTTAAGTCTACCAGGAGGTGGTGATTTACTGATTTCTTACTACAAAAATGACGAGAGAGTGTCCTTCGACACTGATGGAAGGGTGAGAGAGGTGTCTTCATCCACCAACAAATCGCTTTAGATGTTATCAAGCAAATGCCACCTCCTCGAATCGAGTAGTGGAGGCAAATTGAGGAGATTTTAACTGAGAGATGGGGACAGCGATTGCTGTTACCTCCATTTGGGTAAAATTAATGTATTTAAAGAGTTTTGGCGATAAAGACTGCATTTGAAGGCAAGACGAAGTCTAAAAGAAGCGGTTAATGCTTGCTAATACAATTTTTACGAACTTAATGACCGCAAAGACGCATCACCGGTAACTTCTGGCTATTAAAATCACTTACAACTTATATTTTCAGCAGACAAATGATCCTCATTGAGACAGAAATATTTAACACGTAGCCAATTAGCTATCAATGGTGCAGTTGTCAAACAAACGCGTATTTTAGACAATTTGAGAATTGACGACTATGCTGCGACTCTCGAGCAGCCAAATGACAACTAAAGACAATGCATAGAATCCAAACGCACCACTGAAG